GAATGTTTGAAGAAGATAGCCAAACTCTTAGTTGTTTCATGATTTCTATCGAAAAAGAAGGACAAATTAATGCAAATGAAAGTTCTACTCCAGTACACGAAGAGTACGATGCAGATTCAGAAGATGATTATACTGATAGACCTGCTCAAAGAGCTATTGATTTGTTAAATCGTTGTGATAATCTAATATATGATATGCAAAGCTACATTGAAGAACGATCTGAAAATAACTCTCCTATTAATATTGTTTCAGGAATTCGATATGATTTTGACAACCCCAATGGACATCATCCAGAAGATTGTATTTGTAAAGTTTGTCAACCTCCTCCAGCCCGTTCACCATCACCATATAGTTGTTGTAACGAAATTATTTGTCAGTGTAATGAAGATAACTATTCGATTGATACAGAAGAATATAATAATTAGTGGGAAAGACAAATTAATGGAGATGCATTCTCTGATTATTCAGAAGAAAATCAGATTAATATTGAAGAACATATCGCCTGGACCATGTGTGGTATGAACCGTCAAGCTCTAGAAAATATGTATTTGGAAAATATAAAAATTAAACAAGTAATCGCCGGTCAACAAATCAATCATGGTGGAAGTCGATGTACTATGGAATGTGATACAGAAAATCATCACGTGTATACATATTGTACGATGTGCAAGAAGAATCTATTTTATGGAACTACTATGCACGACTGTATCATTGGATTCACTTTAGGAAAAATTAGGCCAGATATGAATCCCAAATTCCTTATTAATAATCAATGGTGGAAAGAACCTCAAGCAGTACAACTTGAAAATAATATCAATTATCTTAAATATATCGAACGATTAATGAATGATTTACCAGTTTACAAAGCATCTTTGGAACCTTTCATTGCCAATTTGGACTAAAAGTCCACCTCTTTTACATATTATAATTAACAAAGTATCAAAAATGTGAAAGCGAAAGTGTCCGCATCGTGACGAGACAGCCTAAATTTTCAAAAATGGATATTGAACATTACAATAACATATATAATTATTTAAAATATAATCAATTACCTTTTACATTAAATAACCAACAACAACAACAAATTCAAAAACAATCAGTATATTTTATTATCAAAAATAATTTCATTTATAAAAAGGATAAAAAGAGACAAAATAATTTACTACGAGTAATTAGAAGACATGAATTGGAACCAGTTCTTTTTATGTTCCACAAAGATCCTACTGCTGAGCATTTTTCAGTTGACACAATGTTTGACAAAATTCAATCAAGATATTATTGGCCACAAATGTACAATGACATCAGAGCTTATGTCATGTCATGTGACTCTTGTCAACGAAGAGGAAAACAAAAGACAAAGTTACCTTTACATCCTATTCCAGTAGAAAGTCCTTTTCATCAAATAGGAATAGATTTTGTAGGACCTTTACCTATAACTAAAAATGGAAACAAATATATAATTACAGCAATGAATTATTTAACAAAATGGCCAGAAGCACGACCTGTAAAAGAAGCTACTGCAGAACAAGCTGCACTTTTTATTTATGAAGAAATAATTTGTCGACATGGATGTCCAGCAAAAATATTATCAGAACAAGGAACTAATTTTAGAAATCAAATAATTGAAAAATTAATGGAAAAATTTCAGATAAAACATTTATTTTCAACACCATACCACCCTCAAACAAATGGACTTGTAGAAAGATTTAATCGTACTTTATCAGAATCTTTAGCAAAATTATCAACAGATCATATTGATAATTGGGATAATTATATTGCACCAATTTTATTTGCTTATCGTACTACAAAACATTCGACTACAAAAATCGCACCTTTCTTTTTATTATATGGACGAGATGCTAAACTACCAACTGATTCATTAGAAAATAATGGAAATCCAACTTTAATAAATCACATAGAAAATTTAGTTGACCAACTACCTCAAGAAATCGAAATAGCTAAGACAAATATTGAAATATCTCAACAAAAACAAAAGGAACGACATGATAGAAAATTATGTCATCAAATAAAATTTTCTATTGGAGATAAAGTCTTATATTATGACGCAGCAAAAGAAAAGCAATGGACTGGAAAACTAAATCCAAAATGGAAAGGACCATACTATATTCATCAAGTTGGAGAAAAGGGAGCGTACAAATTACGAACTATAGATGGAAAAGTCTTACGAACTCCTGTAAATGGAAGTTTATTAAAATTGTATCACGATCGACAAAATTGGGAACCAATAATTGTAGTATAATTAGTCACGATTAAGATCTACAACTCGTGGCAAATAGTTAATTTTATTTACAAGTGTTACAGACGATCAAAATGAATTTGCGACTCAATGCCCCAGAAAAATTTATTAAAAAGATGAAAAATTTTAGAAATTTTATTGTGAAAAACTTAATGAAAAATTTATTACAAAAATTATTAGAAAATTATAGGGAAAATCAGAAAGAAGAAATTTTTTTTTATTAAATCAACTTCTTCATAACTAGGATTAGAAGTAGAACCGTTTGACAAAATTATATTACATTCCTCAAAAAGCATTTGTTTTGCTTCTTCAAATGCTGCTTCAGCACGACCTCTACTACTCTGCAAGCTTATATTATGTGAAATTAATTGACAAACGCCTTCTTCCAGACCTTCTATTGTTCGCTGCTGGTCGATAATTAATTTTTGGGCCTCCCATAATTTTCGCTGCTCCCCAGCCCAGATTTTATTTTGGAATTCTGTCTCGAGATTCTTATGGGTCCCCATTTCCAGCAAATTTTCAAATTTCTCTTGAAGATCTTCTTTTTCTTCCTTAGCTTTCGTAAGGTCCTCTATTAGAAATAAAAATGGAGATTTATGGTCACTCCAAGTTAGTTAAAAACTAAGTGAATAAGGTCGATAGTACAAAAAAGTTCTACAGGTAGAGGCCTTTCAAGACTTAAATATCCTAGAAGTACAAGTACCCCGTCTACAAGCTGCGCAAAATCAACCTTTTAAGAACCGGATATAAGGTCGAAACCCTGTCTACAGGCAATCATACCGTTCAAGAGACATCTTAAGAACCTTGCGTACAATACCCACCTTCAAGTTGACGAACTTTCATCTTACGCGCTTCTTTAAGTCTTTGAAATCTTGCTCGAGATTTCTGACGTGAGGTATTAGATCGACGACAGGTCATGATAGATAGATTGGTAGATAGATAGATAGGTAGACAAAGAAAATTTTGGAAAAATTTTGGGATAATATAAAGATTTTACAAGAAGATAAGAAAAAGAGAAAGGGGAAAAAATTTAGACCTTATATAAGAAATAGGCATGACGCGAAAACACGTTAAGATCAGGCACAACAAAAATATCACGAAAAATCACGACGCGAAAAATTATGAAAATGTGGACGCGTAAGACGCGCAAAAATCACTTTTGAAAATATTTCTGGAAAGTTCTAGAGAAAAATGTGAAGATATTTTTAGAACAAGGAAAAATAATCTTAAAATAGAAAAACGCGGTTAAATAATTTAAGCGCTAAAAATAACTGATAGATGTGGTGAAACATGATGAGTAATACAAAAATCTCATCAGAAATAAACAAAAATCTAATCAGCAAAACGATCTACAGAAATTTAAAACATATATATAGATGTGGATAAGTTGACAAAAGAGTTTAAACCGCTTGAAGAAAAATGGATTTTTCAGAAATATTAGAAGATATTCAACAAACTACTTCAGAAGAAATTAATTTTCCACCGCCGCCCTACATGGAAGAAGAAGATTTCCAAGTTAAATTTTCTGCAACTCTAAGAAGTGTAACGAAGTCAATACGACTAAAGGACACACAATTGGCGATGATTAACTCTTTCTATTTAGGACAACTCCTAGACCAACTACCAACTCCTAGCGAACGATTGAAATACAAGCATAAAATGTCATTACATTATGCAACAATTGTAGAAAAGACTTTTGATATTTTTGAGTTTTTTCCGGAACAAATCTTAAGGACGAAGAAACTAGACGTCCAGGTTATTAGGAAAATTACCAGACCTCAGATAAGGAAACTTAGAAATAATTTATTGATTTTTGCAGGAGCTGCAAATTAAGAGGAGGAACCTGTTACCCCTAGTCACGTGTAGAGTTACAATTTACTACGCCAGAAGATCATGTGGAAAATTAGGATCTACTGTGCCCAACTGTGCCAAGCCGACCTAGCCGCAGCCTATTTAGCCTATTATTTTTATTATATTTATTATATTAATTATATTTAATATAATCGATATAATTATTTTATTTATTATATTTAATTTATTTATTATATTTATTATATTAGTTATATTTATTATATTAGTTATATTTATTATATTAGTTATATTTCTTATATTTATTATATCTATTATATTTATTATATCTTTATATGTAGTAACTTTTATATAAATAACGTTGGTATTTTCCTTCGTTAAAAAGATAGTTCCTTCAGTTCGAATTAGTTTATCTTTAGTTCCATAATTCTTATTCTTGTAATTATAAAGTTCTATAATAAAGTATAACCTTTTACACTATAAACGAACTTCCTATTTTAAGCGTGTCTTGTTTGATTGGATTTCAGTCATAGTTAAACGTACTTAATCTCCCTGACTGCAAATCATAGTTAATCTATTCAACGTACCGAATCGGTTAACAACGTGTAAAGTGATTGTAAAATTAGAAAAATAGCTAATAATGCATTTGGGACAAACGTCACCAATATAGAATGAATTATGAAGTTCACAACCAGTGCAAGGTGTAAGTAAATTAGGTGTGGAGTGAGGAGTTATATTATGATTAAGGATTAGACATATCTTTAAAGGGGATATGATGTTCTAAATAGACCTTTGGTGAATCTCCAGGAAAATGTGATTTTTCCAAAATTTTTCCATAAACTATACATGACACTCGTGGCGACCAAAAAGCAGCCCATTGATTTTTACAAGGAACACTATGATTATTACATTTAATTATTTTAGGAAGTGGAAATCAAAGATCAGGTGACATATTATCGGATTGAGTCATAAATTGTAAACGATTTGTTGAAGGATTTAATACGATATTATCTTTAAGAAAATCATACCATTTAGGTCGACGCCCTCGATTATTTTTTAATAATTTCTTGATCTCTTTCCAAGTTTTAAGAAAAGCACCGTCATTGCTAATTATTTGATCCAAGAAGAAAATATTCTTGTTCTTCAGTGATTTAACAAAACCAAAATATTTTTTGGGGTCAACGATGAAATAACTAATTGGATGTAAACCACCAGTAACATTATATTTAAAATTTGTATTAAAGGATAAGTTATAGAAATGGAAAATGCATAATAGATTTTCTAAACGATTAAAATGTCTAGAAGGTTTGTGAAAATATTTAGTCATTTCACTTATATCATTTGTCCAAAGTTTACATTGTGATGTTAAAAAAAGGAATTCTATAACTTTTGACGTGACTGGGTTATTGATTTGTGCATTTAATAAGGATGCTTGGGAACGCAATTGTGAATCCCAAATATTCAAATATTGGGGTATATCGGATTATGTACCACCGAATTAAAAAAGGATTTTGGTAATGATAGGGAGTGTTTAAAAATTGAACGTAAAATTCTATTGAATTTGTTACATTTGTTTGGTTCAATAAAAATGTGTTGCATTAAATATTCTATCCTAAATTTTAAGCTGTAATTTTTTGTTATCTTTAAGAACATTCCTGCTGAATATACACCTTGGTTTGTTGCAATATGTACAAAAAACAAAATCACGAACGCGATTATTATTAATTAGACCAGTTGGAATTGTTTCTTTTGAAGAATTGGATAAATTTGGCAAATGCTCCTTTGTTTCAGTTCCATATAAATCATTAAAATCTCTATAGTGTTATAAATCTAAAAATATTTTAAAATATTTTAGTTCATATATATAATTTAAAAATAGATCAATTTTTTTAAAGATATAAATGCAATTCACTAAATATTTCTTTTGGTAATTGTATTGGCAAACAAAAGTTATATTCAAGTTCACCACATTTTTTTATCTAAAATTAATAATTTTTTAAAAAAAAATTAGAATAAAATATTTAATAAATGAATAATAACTTTTATAAATTCAATTTGTACATACTTGAAAACTATATGTACGAATACAACAATGGGTTTTAATAAAGTCTTAAAGAATTCCATGCTTACTCAATGCATTTCTTAGTGAAGTTTCATGTAATTCTAAAGTTTCGTCTATCTTATAAATTTTCTATGATATTTAAAAATAAATAAAATTAAAAATAATTTGTTAATATTTATCAAACCAAATATATTTATTATATTATTCATAAAACAATTCTTACTTCAAATAATTCATCAATTTGCATTCTATAAGCAAGTTTATAGTGCTGAAAGCTTTTTTCATTAAGTGACAATCGGATAGTTCTCTCTTTTAATAAAGATTGCACCTCTTCAATAGATTTTTGCAATTGAATTGCTAACTGTTTATTTCCTTCAGCTGCCAAGCAAATTTCTTCTAATGTATTTTTACTTTTAAATATATCTTCTAAAATATCATCCATCTTATCATGTTGCAGTGTTACTCCTTGTAATGCTAAATTTAATATTGACATTACACGCTCTGCAGGGTTCATCCAGCTATGGTATGGTGCAGTTCTAACACTAGCCAAAAAATCAAAATTACTACAAAGAAACAAACAAATTAATGAAATTTATACAGATCCAAATGTTACTCTATGATCAGGACCACCATCAGTGTATAAGTATTACCTACATTTGCATAATCGTGTAAATGGTGCCGATTAGGAGATAATAAAAGCATTTCAGGTAAATTTTCTTGATGTTGCTTTTTAATATTATTATAAATTTCAGTGGCATGTTGTATTGCTGTACTTGGTTGAAAAGTTGTATCTTTATATGATACATAAACTTGTCCATGATAAAAAGATTCATTAATACTTTCTGGTATATCTATGAATAATGTTACTGATGGTGTTAAAGATAGTTTCGTATAATCATGATCAGATGATGTTAAATCCACATTTTGTGGCACAAGTGATTTTTTATTACGAACTCCAGTTGAAGTTGCAATTCCTTCTCCAATTGCTATTTTATGTTTGTCATCTGCACAGATAAATGAAGTATATTTTCGAAATTTAATTGAAAATAATCTCATGTATTGAAAAAGTGCTGCACAATAGTGTGCATCTGGATGGAATTTTGATAGTTGCCGTGTTTGTATTTTATATTTTATATTGAATCTTCCAGTATATTGTGAAGCAGTTTGTGTAGCAGGATTCTTTGGCCAGAATTGAAGTCGGATATATTCATCAGATGGTATACATATTTCTGAATTTAATGGAGCACCATATTTTGATTCTAATTTTTGTATAATTATTTTTTTGAGATCGGATATAGACATTGCAATAGGCAAATATAAAACAGAACTGGCCCGTCTATAACAGGGCGGACATCCTTATATCACCTTGCCGATCATTTGCCGATCTTATAGTAAATTGGGTGATATCAGACTTTAAAACTTCGGCCAAAGTCACAGAAGTTTGGCCGAAGCTTGAAACTTTTATGGGTTATAGTTTAACTGATTTAAAATCAATGGCCGAAGTAATCATTCCTAATTTTAGGTAATCAAGAAGTTATGGCTAAATTTATACTTGCAATTATATTTGTTATAATCTATATAATAAATAGAAATTTTCAAAATACAATTTCTCAATCAATTTGGCGTAAAAAATTATAAAATTACTATCAAAATGTTTGTCTTGACGAGATGAATCTAAAAAGCTATAAAACATTAAATTTTAATCACTGGTTGTCACAATATCATTAAAATAATTTCAATTTTCTAATTATTATTAAAATTCAGCCCATTTTTGGGTTTTAGTTAATTTTTGGATTTGAAAACATTAATTTTCGGACTTTGGATAAATTTTGATAACAAATAAAATTTATATAGTTAAATTTGCAAAAAAATAGTATTTTTTATGTGATAATATTTAAAATAGATGATCGGCAAAATGATCGGCAATAATGTGATAATATGAGGATGTCCGCCCTGTTCCCGTCTATCATGTACAGCTGGAACTATCTAGTATATAAAATTAATAAATTAATACAAATGACATCAATATTAAATAAACAAAAAATAAATTATTATTATTATTATCATTATTATTTTACCTCATTAAAATAATTGTTCATTTCATCCCAAAAAATATCAAATTTTGTGCCTTTGAATCCATTATTTATAATTTACTCTTAAATCTAAGATAATTTCTGGATCTTGTAAATCCAATACAGTTTGGATCCGATCTTGCATTTCTTTTGTTAATTCATTTGATGATGATGACGAATCTCCAGACAAATCTTGTAATAATTTATTCCAAATTAATGGCGTTAACTTTGCAATTAAGCTGTACTATAAAAGTAAAATAAAAATTAGGTTATATAATTTTATAACTGAATTAAATTAAAAGCTTTCTTATACTAACCTTTTCAATTACATTTTTCTTCATTTGTCTTGTAAAGAATATTGGTACCATTTCATTTGCTAATAAAATTAATTGAGACTCTTTAGTTTTACTTCTATCATCAAAATATGGTAATTTCCAAATAAAATTTAAAGTTCCTAAATAGTTCCCATGATAATACCGATATAAAGTAAATGCAGAATCAACTTCCAAATTTAAAATAAAATCGTAACGTGCTCGCTTATCATCAGAAAGATAAGTATCAAGTGATATTAATTCATAATAATCAGAATTGTGAAGTATTGAAGAAATATCATCATATTTCTTATCAAAGCTTTCTTTCTTTTCACGTATTTCTATCAAAATATTATCAATTTTGTTGCGTATAAAATCTACACTCAAATGATTTTCTTTAACACTCTGATTTACTTCTTCTAAATACTTTATATACTTTCTTGCATTATGACATAAATCAAGTACTGAAAAGACAAATTGTTTCCATCTTTCTGCACTAGCCCATGGTTGAGATACACATGATTCAACTTCTTTAACATATCCATCTAACTTTACCACAGATAATTGTTCTTTTTTATGCTTTCCAGTAAAATAAAATCTGTTATAATTGGAATTAATTTTATATTCTGGTAAATTTAAAATTATGTTTGGCAAATTACATCCACGATCTTTTAATTTTGCATGATGTGGGTCAAGATACCATAGTAAATCAATAATTAAACAATTAATAAATTTGTCTCCAAATGTTTCGTGCATACCTCTGGTCCATCCTAGTGAATTTTGTTGTAAAATCCATAATATATCATTAAATAAAAAGTCCCGTCTTGTTGATGATTTATGTGCTACTGGAAGACAATATCTTTGACTATTCACCATTAATATTGGCAAAGGATTAACATGTGGTACTAAATCAGGTTCAATGTCTTCCAAATCTTCCAAAATATATTTAACTTGACATGGTTCAAAATTTTTACAAAATGATAATTTCATATCAAGTTTTCTAATATTGGCCCAATGTTTTGTTATTGGGTTGTAGAATTGTACAGATATTCTCCGATCATTAACTGTATAACCCGTACTTCACTCAGCAAGTCTTCAAAATTTTTATTTTCTTCAATATCTATGGCATCATCTTGTAACAATTTATTGTGCTTATAAATGGCAACAATGAAATACATTATGATGACAGAAATAGAGTTAGAGTTAACGATAAAAAAAAGATTAAAATATAGGTCAGATCGTGTGGTACATGATCCAATTTTATCATATCTGTGCGAGGTGCGTTGCTTGGTTAAAACTATCAAATCATATACAGTCATGTGACATATATTATGTTTATTTAAATCTGAAATTTTTCAAAAAAAGAGGGGGGAGGACGTTAAACTAATTATTAATTTGGAGCGGCCTAATTAATAACTTAATGTCTAAAATTTTATTTGCATATTTTTACAGGATTTTCAATATCAGGTGTCAATTATGCATACTACTGTGCCGTACTACTCATATAAAAAGTCTCTGCGTATAGCTCATAGTAAAAAAATTTTTCGCCACCTGACCCCTATATATATTTCTGGATCCTAATGCACCATTTGCAAGAAAATTGGAATATTTGACAAAAAAAAAAGCAAAATTTGATTTTAATTGACAATGTTATAACAATGTTGTGAAATGTTACAATAATATTACATTTGAGGTGTAAAGTAGCATTTTCCCAAATTTTCATAAAATTTGCTAAATTGGATAATGTTGTAACAATGCTATTCCAAAAAATTGCTCAGCGTAATGCAGCATTTTCCATAATTTCCTACCATTTTTCAGGAAAATGTGAAATTTGCATTTTTTGAAATTTGGACAAGGTGCTCCTTTGACCTGTGAGATATTGCAAAAATCAAATGTGATGATTTATATATATTTAATAATTAAATAAGTTACAAAAAAAAAGAATTATTCAAATTACAAACTAAAAAACTTGTAAAATATTCTACTACTTTAACCTTAGTGTTTAAATAATTCTAATAAAAATAAAGAGAATTTGAATATTTAATAATTTATAAGAAATAAGAATCATTTAAATTACAAACTAAGAAATTTGTAAAATATTTTACTACTCTAACTTTAGTGTTTAAATAATTCTAATAAAAAAAAAATATACATATAAAAAAAATTTGTTAAATGAACAATAACATCAAATCATATCATTTAAAAAAAAAGTTTTTAAAAATAATTCAAATTAAATCTTTTTCATTATCTGAATAATTAAAAAAAAAAAATTAATTTCATATAAAATTATTTGCAAAATTATTTTATTTTTCTATATTACATACCTTCATTAATAATGATACAATCTCTCAAACTTCCGCTTTCTTGAATTTCATTCACTTTTCCACTAGTAGAATGACTTAAATAATATACATGTGTATCTTCATTTTCAAGAATTTTATTCAATTCTTTACTAGTAAAACTAAGTAAGCGACTTGTATGGCATACTTGTGGATGAGATTCGGTAATTAAATTGTTACATTGAATTGATGCATTTATAAATTCCATAATATTGCTTTTTAATTCTTCATTTATATCACTTATATCACTGATTTCAGGATTAAAAATCCAATTTTTAATGATATTTTTAACTTTTAATGCAGATGGCCTTTCTAATGGATCTTCATTCCAACATTTTTTCATTAAATCTATATAGCATTGTGGAGTATTTTCAATAATTTCAGGACGTTCACCTTTACAAATACTTAAACTAAGTTGAATATCATCATATTTTCTGTCACTAAATGGTGGAACTCCAGATGTAAATTCCCACATAATCATAGAAAAACTATATATATCACTAGCTGGAGTATATGATTTACCTCTTAAAATTTCAGGTGCCATAAATGGTATAACACCATAAATACTATCTTTGTTTAAAAATGATTCCAAAGGTTGACATAATCCTAAATCACTAATATAAATTTCATCATCTTTATTTTCATCATCTTTTAAATTATTTTTATACTTATTATGTTTTAAAATATTACCATCATGAAAATCACAATGAATAAGATTTTGTTCATGTATTTTATGAAGTCCAGAAATAATTTTATATAATATATATAATCTCTGTTTCCAATTATTTTTAATTATTTTTGTTAAATTTTCTCTTAAATTGCCTTTATTTGCATAATCCATTATTGCCATATATTTCGAATCTGGATTTCTTGTAAATCCGTACAAGTTAATAATTTCAGTTGAATCTAAACAACTTTCATGATATTTCCACTATATAAAAAGTTAAAAGATTATTAAAATAAATTTATATAAATAAATTATAATTTAAGTTTAAAAAAAAAAATAAATAAAATGTTATAAATAATATATATCTTACTTCTTTTAAAAATTTACTTAAATTTTCATTTAAATCTTTGGGACATTTAAGAACTACTTCCATATCACCGTTTTCTTTTAACCAAATAGCTTTATAAACACTACCAAATCCTCCTTCATTAAGATATTCAACATCCTTAAATTTTTTATAAGGAATCCATTTTAATTTTTTTTCTAAAATAAAATTATCCATAATTATATTTCCACTTTTTCCAAATCTAAATAATTTTAAATAATTAAAATTCATTAAAAAATTACGTTGAAATCGTTGAAATATTAAATTTTAAAAAAAATAACATTAACACTTACCCTAAAATTTAATAAGAAATTTTAATAAATGATAAATTTTAATTTATTTTTTACATAAATAGTAACGTAATAATAACCAAAATTTGTAACTTACTAACTAAAGTAAATAAACAAATATAAAGAATTTAGTTAATTAAAATTATTTGTGAATATTAAATACAGTAAATATACAAGGATAGCAATATCTAATAACTTACAACCTAAATTAAATTAGAATCTAGTTAGTTTAAATTATATGCAAATATCACATAAATATATAATAATAAAATTACTTGTTACTTACAAAAATCTAAATAAATTATCAATCAATTTTTTTTAATTAATTTAAATATATATTGAATATAATAACAAAATTGAATAAATAATTTATTACAACTTACGCTCTACATTATTAAATAACAAATTTAGTTTAAATTATATGTGAATATGATATAAATACGTAATAATAGAATTAATAAACAACTTACTTCCTATATTACCAAATAATTTATAAATAAAGAATTTAGTATAAATTATATTTAAACATCAATTAATCATATAATGACAGAATTAAATTAAGTAACTTACGAACTATATTATTAAATAAAGAATTTAGTTAGTTTAAATAATACATACATATGCATAACAATACAATCAAATAGAATAGTTTATATAACTTACAATCTAAAATTATTAACGATTATTTTTAAATAAAGGATTTAATCAATAAATCATATACAGTCATCATATAAACAATGTAATAACATAATTTATAACTTACAATCTATAAATAAAGAATCAAATTAGTTTAAATTATATATAAACATTACATAAATATATAATAATAGGATTACTCACTTTCTATATTTTTGAATAATTTTTTAAACGAAAAATTTAGTTAATTTAAATTATATGTAAATATGAATTAAATAAATAAATTATAACTTACCATCTATTAAATGACGAATTTAATTTTTTTTTTTCGAATTATTTGTAAGTATTTTATAAAGAAAATAACTACATTTAACCGTGAGGAAAATTAACCGGTGGGCAGAATTACACAATTCCAAGTCAACTCATTACCAGCATTAACATTAATTCCTTCATTTACCGGTTAATTTTCCCCCTGGCTAAGATCCTTATATAAATATGTGATAGACAAATTACCTTCTAGATTATTGATTTTTTTTTTTAAAAAAAAAAATTTAGATTAAATCATATGTAACAGGTATTATATAAATACATAGAATAAAATAACTTACTCTCTATATTATTAGCAATATTTAAATAAAGAATTCAGTTAATTTTAGTTAGTTTAAATAATATTATATAAATGTCAAAATAAAATTAAATAAATAACTTATAACTTACTAACTAAAATAAACAAATAGTATTTTTTCAAATAGAAAATATAGTTAAATTAAATACAAATGCTATACATGTAATAGAATAAATAAATAACTTCTAACTTACCAACTAAAACATGTAATAATTTGCGAAAAATTTAATTAGTTTATATTATATGAGAATGCAATAAAATATATAATGGTAGAATAAAATAAATAACTCACTCTCTAGTATATTATTAAATAGTTTTTCAAAGTAAAGAAGTCAGTTTAATTTATAGTATGTATTATAAATATACAAATACAAATAACTCACGTGCTGTATTATTAAAGAACAAATAATTTAGTTAGTTTAAATTATATAAATATCATATGTAATAATAGAAATAAATAACTTACAATCTAAATAAATTGTCAGATATTTTAATAAAGAATTTGTTAGTTAACATAAATTTAAATGTTATGCAAACGTATAATAATACTATCGATAAATAAGCAACTTACTCCCTATATTATTAAATATTTTTTTTTAAATAAAAAATTTAGTTAGTTTAAATTATGTATGTGTAAATATCAAATAATATATAATAATAAAATCAAATAAATAATTATTACTTACGCACTATATTACAATTTTTTAAATAAAAAGTTTTAAATATATTAGTGAATATTATATAATAATAGAATAAATAATTAACTTATAACTTACAAACTAATACAAGTAAATTGTTCAAATAATTTTTATAATAAAGAATTTCGTTAATTTAAATTATTTGTAGATATATAAATAGAATTAAATAAATAACTTGTCACTTACGTGCTATATATTAAATATTTTTAGATAATTTTAGTTAGTTTAAGTTACGTATAAATTATGGTAAAAAATAAAAATAAAAATAACATACGTGCTTATTATAAAAATAATTTTTAATAAAAAATTTAGTTAATTTAAATTCATATAAAAAGTATGCAATAATAGAATTTAATAAAGTAACTTACGATCTATATTATTATAATAAAGAATTTAGTTTAATTTAAATTATATATGATAGTATTAATGGTATGATAATAGAATTAAATAAATGATTTATAACTTACCATCTAAAAGAAATTGCCAAATAATTTTTTAATAAAGAATTCAATTAATTCAAATTAAATATTTGTAAATAATAATAGAATTAAATAAATAACTCACTCTCTATTATTAAAAAATTGAAAAGTTAATTTAAATTATTTACAAGTATTATATAATTGCATTATAATGTAATAATTAAATAAATAATTTATAACTTACCAACTAAAATATTAATTTTTTAAATAAAGAATTTGATTATTTAACTGAAATTATACGTAAATATTATTTAAATACATAACGATAGAATAACTTACTCTCTATATTATTAAAATAAAAATTTAGTTTATAATTAATTTAAATAATCACGTAAATATTTTATATAAATGTATAATGGTAAATTAAATAAATGACTTATAACTTACCAGCTATAATAAATTTCCAGATAATTTGTTAAATAAAGAATTTCGTTAGTTTAAAATATATAATATATGAATATATGTAAAATTTCATATAAATATAATAGAATTAAATTAATAACTTGCCAACTATAATAAAATTACAAAGTGATTATTTTAAATAAGAATTTCGTTAGCTTATATTATATACAAATATTCTATAATGAAATTAAATAACTTACTTCCTATATTATTAACCGTTTTTAGAAAGAATTTAGTTAGTTTAAAATATATGTAAATATCATATATCATAAAGTCCGCCCTTTTTGCACATAATGCTAGCCAAGAACATCGTAATGTAGCCCAAAATTGCGAACTTTATGATAGATCTGTAATAATCAAATCAAATAAATAACTTACTCCCTGTATATTATTAAATGATTTTTAAATAAGGAATTTAGTTCAAATTATATAAATATTATATAAATATGCAATAATAGGAATAAATAAATGACTTATAACTTACAATCTAAAATAAATTACCAAAGTTAGTTTAAATTATTGTAAATAGTGTATAAATATATATGTATGATAGAATTAAATAAATAACTTACCAACTATAATAAACCACCAAATAATTTTTAGACGGAAAATTTAGTTAATTTATTAAATTACAATATTAAATATATATTTAAAATAATAAAATTAAATAAATAACACATATTTAACTTACGTCCTAAGAAAATTACCAATATTTATTTGTGATTAGTTTAATTATATTAGATATCATATAAATAAGTAGTAATAAAATAAAATAAACAACTCACTTGCTAAATCATTAAACCGTTTTTTAAAAAATATTATAAATTTTTGTAATAAGGGCAGCGTAATATATTACGTAACGCCCGTAATCCAACAACAAATTTCGGGTGATATCAGCGTAAGATAGGTAACCAATTAAAATATAATATAATTATATATCACATGATTTTATTATGTGTCCAATTCTCGTAATAAATGTCAATGTTCCTAATAAAATTAAATAAATGACATATAACTTACATGCTATATTATTTTTTAATAATAATAGTTAGTTCAAATTATATATGAAGCGTAATAATGGAATTAAATAAATAACTATAACTTACTATCTAAAATAAATTACCAATTAATTTTTTTTTAAATAAAAAAAAATTCAATTAGTTTAAATAATATGTATATATCATATATAAATATACAATTGATAGAATTAAATAACTTGAAATAAACTCACTTTCTACATTATTAATAATTTTTTAAATAAAAAAATTTAGTTAATTTAAATCACATGTAAATATTTCATAAATATGTAATGGTAGAATTAAATAAATAACTTACCAACTAAAAAAAATTATGTAAAATAAAAAAATTAATTAGTTAAAGTTATATGTGAATATTATATAAATATATGATAATAAAATTAAATAAATAATTTATTACGTACCAACTATATAAATAAATTACCAAATAATTTTTTTTTTAAATTAAATATTTTTTTTTCTTTTAGTATATTAAAATATTTAATAAATAAAATTAAATAAATAACTTACATGCTATATTATTAAAATAAAGAAATAATTAGCTTAAATAATGTCGTTAAATATGTAATAATGGAATTAAATAAATGACTTATTACTTACACGCTATATTATTAAATATTTTTTATATAAAGAATTTAATTAGTTTAAATATTATATAAATATTTTATAATAATATTAAATAAATAAGTAGAATAACTCACTCTCTATATTATTAAAATAAAGAATTTAGTTAGTTTAAATTTATATGTAAATATCTTAATAAACATGTACTAATAGAATTAAATAAATAACTTGCAACTTACCAACTAAAATAAATTACCAATAAATTTTTCATTTTTTTCTAGTTAGTTTAAGTTATATACAACTTAAAGACATAGATAACATATAACTTACACCCTGTAATATTATTATTAATTAGATAAAAACATTATTACAAAAATACATGATGTAAAAAAAATTAATTATATTACTTACAATCTAATTATTTAAATAAAGAATAAAATGATTAGTTTTGAAATATGCGCAAAAATTAAATAAAT